TAAGCCAAGATATGAATTGGCCTATGTAAGGTGCAGAATTTGACGCGATTCAGCCACCACGACCTAAGCAAGGATGGGGAGTGCAGCTGAGACAGGAAGCGCTGAAGTACTGTTCTTGTTTCCTCTAACCCTTTTTAGGTGTTTGGTTAATCATATTTAAACAAAAATAATTCAGAAACAATTGTTTAGTTGATAACAAGTCCCTTTACCAAAAACTTGAGAAGGAATGATTATTAGGTTAGCTGCTCCAAGAAGTCTGGTTTCGACTTTGGCACAAGTGATTATTTGTCTTGATAGCAGAGCGGTTGACTTAATTAAAACACTGTCCCCATACCTGCCTTGCTGTGATGGAGAATACTGTTACACGAGACAACAGCATCCTTGTTTGACATGCGGGAGGGTATGCTTAACTCACTTTTCATTCAGTTTTTCTTTCCTCTGTACTACCCATTCACTGTATATCTCCTCGGGAAATAAAGAAATCCCACAAACACACTGCCCTGTTGCATGGTATGTGCTTCTGAATGATGCTGCTGTTCCGTTCCAGGTTGAGCAGCTGAGTCTAGACCCCCAGAGATTCTTTTTTTTTTTTTTTCTTTTCTGGTTTGCAGTGAGGGTGGTCTCGCACCGTGGCTGCACATACAACCACCGGATTAGACGACTGAGGGCTTGTTTCTGGAAGCGTTGGGTGCGTTAGGATCCCGGGTGCGCTGTGAACCAAATCAAATTAATGATGCCCTTTAGCTAAGGGTTTAAGAAGTTAAACTTATATTCTACATTTGATTTTTCACTGCTTAGAGTGGGAAGAACTGTGTCAGAATAAAGATGGGAGCCCAGACTTTGCTTATAAAACAATCCTCATGGCTTCAGCATTTTCATCGCAGTGACGCTTGTCTGTAGCGCGGTGATGAGGTGAACAAAGCCACTGCTTTGGGGTTTCAGCGGTTGGCCTGGGGAGGGGGTTAATCATGGCGTTTCTAGATTGAAGTTCCCTGTAGAATGGCTGTTGGAGACATGCCCTCAGGCACCTCGGTGGCTTTTCCGTTAACACAGAAGCAGCTAATAAGAAAAATTAATGATGCAAATCCAGTTTCAGGCTGAAAACTCTGAGGATCAGTTGCTCTTCCAAGCAGAGCTGTCTTAGCTGGGATCAGAAGATTTGGATGTTTTCTTGCTAAATAATAAGTGGATTCCACAAGAGCCTGAATGTGCACAAAAGTAAATGCGTTAGGAAGGTTCTGTATTGGATGCGGGGAAGAATTTAAGGAAAGGTGTATGCATAGCCATAAAATAACTGCTCGGTGCTTACATTGCAGCAGCTGCATTATCTGGCTAGGCCAAATACCTTCTCATGGCACGTTCTGAAATGCAAAGGACCTAAATTCAGAAAGAATCCAATCGTCTCATGAACATGTAACTCAAGTGTTTAAAGCTGCAAATCACTTTGTTCAAATTACTGCTTTTGCCTTGTAAGCAGCTTTGTAATGTAGAAGAGGAAGGCCAGTATGTGTAAGTCTTGTAAATTCGTTCTTGGAAAGGAAGTACAGCAGCTGTTGAAAGTGGCTGTAATAAATGGTACAAAATAATACTCTTTTTGGGGTAACTGTGCCACACTTGGATGTTTTTCCGATAATTAGTTACATGAGTGGTTCCATCAGCTGGAATGTCTCTATTCTTTTTATAAACATGCTTGAAATTTTCTAATACTTCCCAAGTAGCTGAGTGGGTTTTCTTCCCTGTTTTATTCTGAAAGGAGAAGGAGAAAAGAATACATCGCCTGAAGTCCTGCAGTGTCTGTACCAGAGAGACAACAGGCATATAGCATGCAATTACAATGGAGTATTATATCATATTGGTGTATTCCACTATGGGGTGTAAAGCATTTGCTGTTACGGCTCTAAGACTAGTCACAGCTCTTAGAAATTGGAAAAGTGACTGTGCTCGTGAATATCTGCGTTACCAAATCGTCCAGAGTTAAGTTTAGTTCACCATTACTACGTGGACATTAAGCAGATTGGGTCTTAAAACCGTGTTAAGGGTTCCCTCTTGTCAATCACAGAATGGTGTGGGTTGGAAGGGCCCTTAAAGATCATCCAGTGCCCCCCCCTGCCATGGGCAGGGACACCTTCCACTAGACCAGGTTGCTCCAAGCCTCATCCAGCCTGGCCTTGGACACTTCCAGGGATGGGGCATCCACAGCTTCTCTGGGCCACCTGTCCCAGTGCTCCCCACCCTCTCCGGGAAGAATTTCTTCCCAATATCCAATCTAAACCTCCCCACTTGCAATTTAACCCTGTCGCCCCTTGTCCTGTCACTACAGGCCCTTGTAAAAAGTCCCCCCCAGCTTCCTTGTAGCCCCCCCAGGCACTGGAAGGTGCTATAAGGTCACCCTGGAGCCTTCACTTCTCCAGGCTGAACAATAAGAGGTGGTGCTCTCTCACGGAGCATACGGAAACACCATCCTAGGCATGTGAGATTTTTCAAATAAGGTTAAATTCAGAAGTTATTTGTGTGGCTTTTTGTGAGGGTCTTAAATTCAGATGGTTATTAGGAGCGTTTCTGCAGGGGCATTGACTCTCTTGCGTGTGGGATTCCTTTTGAAAATGCTTTGTATGTATATTTGGGTTTGAAGAATTGTAGAGCGAGACCTCTCGTGCTCCCTTACCGCATGTGTAGCAAAGGGCTTTTCCCAAAGAAATTCAACAGAAACCCAGTCCGGGAAAAACACTGCTTTTCTCCAACTTGTGTTTTCATCACTATTACTCATTCTAAGTGCCCGTCAGAGCGAGGAGTCTGCTCCTAGACGCTTATCTCTCTGCCGATGGGCAGCTGGCCAAGGAGCAGGAATATATTCAGCTGGTCACCCTTAGGAACAACACGGAGCATAGCTCTTAATGATGAGGTGCTTTGGGTCGCGCGTGTGCATCTGAAATCACAGCAGTCATCTCAAGTCGCTCTCCTCCTGAAGAGTCAGCCTAAAATTAACAGCTAATGGATAAGCGAAGGAAGAAATAAAGTGGATCCAGATGGGCTCGTGAACACAGATACATCATCTCGCTTCTCTTGTGCCACGACACTGCTGATTTGTATCAGCCCCGTGGAGTACTGGGGTTGTCTGTTTGCAGGAAGAGGAAAGGTTTTCCAAAAAGCTGCGTGCTTCCTGTCCACTTTGATTTACTTGGGGAACGCGTAATGGTTTTGAGGCTGCTTCAGCCAGGTCTCCCAGTATCAAATGAGGAACTCCTAAGAGAAGCATCTAGCTTTATAGAAATGCTTAACTGCCCTGCTCCTTAATCTGGGCTCTTCAGTTAGCGCTCGTCACCGCAACAGTCTATACAGACCAAGGTAAAAAAACCCGAGTAATGTTTCAGCTTTTTCAGCCCTGTCGGTAACTTCAACCACCATTTCTTGGTTTTCCTGCGATTTCTGGTGTGTTTACAGGGTGACTGTTTGGGTTAGCTAGCCACAACTTGTTTTGTCCTTTGGCCTTCCCAGGGTTTTGGTTTTGTCTTTTGTGGTCACGCTGTTTCTTATTTGTCCCTGTTTACTTTGACTTCATATCCTCTGTATGTTACTGCCTGGCACTTGGGATTAGGAATGGTTTTGTTTCAGGCAGTTTCATCTCTTATGTCACATCTAGTACATTAAACAGTTTGTGCTTAGGCTTTTGGGAGTTGTTACACCCCTAATTTGGTCTTTCTCCTCTAGGCTTCTTTCCTTTGAAATGATACCAACCAGTTCACTGAATCAATGGCTTGAAGAGAGGGGGGAAAAAAGAGCACATTTCCATATTTTCCTTATTCCTTCCTCTCTCCTTTTTTCATTTCTTGTGTTGTGAATTCATCACTTCATGATTAATTTTACTCTTGACTGCCTTTTGTCTTCATGTGCTCAAGCAGGTTTTCTCCTCTACAGTGTAGAAGAGATTCCACATTGGTTATTTCTTTTATCATCTGTATCAGCACGTTGTCACCAATATATTCAGGAACTTGCCAATTGTTCTATATCCTGTTGCATTCCCACCTTTCTGTTGGGAAAGGGCGTTTTACTGTAGCTCCTTTCCCTTGCAGTGAAATCTGGAAGGCTTTTCCTGAGGAAAACGCTCAATACGTTAATTGTTTAATAATGGCTCCAGGAACATGTAGTTGATCGTCCTTTGGATGGATTGGGGCACGCTTCTGCACGTGCCCTAAGTGTGTGCAGGGGAGATGGGGTTCCTGGAGACAGCTGCTAGCATGGCCAACACCTGCAGTACAGGAATATTGATGTGGATAACGAGGCTGCCATCAGCTCCGGAGCAAGAGGCCATGGGATGGAATTTGCTTGATTTGCTTGTGCTTGCATTCATGCTAGCTTCAGGCTGCAAAGTGTCATCTCCTCTCTTTGCAGTACATCAAAGCCTCTCTGCCACGTGGAAACAGGTCTCGTAGTCTTTCTCCACATGAAGTGCAGGGAGACAGCTAGGATTATGAATCCATTAAAAGCTACCTGTGTAGGAGATGTAGTTGATTTATACATGCATGCACACAGACACAGGCGTATTTTTATTAGCCAACATGGTAATGTTTGGCCAGCTGCCTGGAAACTATTCTAAACTCTACCCAGAGTGGGAGCTTGTGAAAAATGTGCGCTAGCATATGGATGGTGTATTCTTCTAGCAGCTCCCTCGTTTCCACTCCATTATAAATATTTACCCTTATTCATCAGTCTTCAACAATCACTTTACTGGCTGTCTTTGGCAAGAAGCTAACACTGAGAATGTATATATATGTGTACTGGACCACACCAGTGGTTAGGTAATTAAATTTGAAATTATTGGAGGTGGGAGCATAGGATTGTGTTGGAACTTAAGTGCAGCTTGCCTTTTTTTTTGAAGGGTTTCTGGCTTTGGGACAGATGTGGGCTAGAACGAAATCTGTTCTTAAGGATGCCAGTCTCTTCTAACTTTAATGTGTTACCTACTCTTCCCTCCCTGTGTTTTTTTTTCTCCACACCATCAGGTCCCAAGCCTCTGTGAAGATCTCCTCTCCTCTGTCGATCAGCCGTTGAAGATTGCACGAGATAAGGTGGTAGGAAAAGACTATCTATTGTGTGACTACAACAGAGATGGGGACTCATATAGGTGAGTTCATATCCAAAGCGAGGCACTAACTGGCTTACATTGTAAATGAGAACTATGTGCAAGTATCGCAGTCCCTTCTCCCTCTTACTCGTAGCCAAAAAACTGAATTTAATGATACTACACTCTTGGCAATGAAGCTGGGACTGTTTCAAATCCTTATCTGAAGATGCTGAATGTGGAAATTGTTCTTTGCATTTCCCTAATGTGAAAGGGCACAAACGTCTTCCTCTCCGGATCACTGTGGAGTGCTTTGCTTCCAGATCACACGGTTGTAAGGCTGCTAATCTGATGACCTTTGCAAGGCAGGTCCCTGCTGTCTGTCTTCGGAAGACGATGTGTTTAGAAACCACAGTGTTGCTGCACGTTTTCTTTACTGTGATTTGCAGTCGTTCACTGAAGCCTCAAATGTGATGATGTTATCTACTTAAAGGGGTGACTAACACATTCTCTTAGGTTTTCTGTAGTGCAGTTACGTCTTAGAGAATTAAAACCAGTGGGACCTCTAGAAGCAATGGTTGTGATGGCCTTGGCATGGAATTAAACCGTGTGTTGTAGGGTTGTAAAATAGGTAACAACAGAAGAGAGGTGATTTTGTTTGAACTGACTGCATCATCTCCTGCTCGTACAAAACAGGGTCAGCTGGGAAAGGCTCCTTCACTCATGGTTTGCGAGGGATCGAGTGCGACTTGGACACGCGATGTCATTATTCTTTACGAACATCTTGGCCAAGGATTTTAGCAGAGAGAAGGAATCCCTCTCTACCAAAAGAGCTAATTTATTCTGAGGACTGTAGACAAAACCAGTGAAAATATTTGAACAATATAAGCTGTATGTAATTGTAATATAACAGATTTTGAAGTAGAAAGGGCTGCAGCACTGGAGTGGTACAATGAGTTTTCAGTATCTTGGCTGCCACTTTGGATGCGGTCTCTCTTTTAATGTTTCTATTCTCCACATTGCTATTAGGATGATTACAGTGGAGCAATTTTTTTTGGCAATTTTCCCCCTTTTTTTGCATTCCCTGCTTTTTTCTTAATGGCTCCAGTGATAGTGGCCTAGTTCCAAAGATTTAATTAAGAATCACAAAGCTTGTAGTCCAGAGACCTTGGTGAATATTGCATCGCCTACCTTTTATTCTTCTCCCCTGACGCAGGGTTAGGCTGCGGAGTAATGGCCACCATTCATCTTCTGTCGTGAGTTAACAGCTCGGCCATTCTGCTGTTTCTGGCTATGGTGATGAGGGTTACATCTCTGTCTCTCCTTGCAGCTTCAGTGTAACAGCTTGTTAACGATTGGAACTCATCTACAGTAAAAATTCAGCTGTTCTGTGCAGATTTGCAGTAGTGTTTCACATTCATCTGGCCAGAATGTTTCAAGAATTCTATTTCAAAGTGGAATTCATTTAACCATCTTTTTACTTTGGTTCAGGCTATCCTTGCAGAAGCAGGTGAGCTTATAAAGGAGCCTAAATAAATTGGTTTCAGTCGCTTTAAGTTGCAGGAAAGGTACTTGCCTAAACCGAAAGCACATCTGTCTGTAGATGCTTTACAAGGAGAACATGCCGAGATTCATTTTGTCCTAGAAATAGAAGAAGGAGACTAATAACGGCTGCAAAGTTTGGCAGTGCAGCTGGATTGTGGCTGAGTGTAAATCCTAACGAGTTTTAGTTAAATATGACCTGTTGCAGTGGGCCAAGAAGTAAGAAGGTGACTAAGGAGAAGTGTTCACTCACGTTCTTCAGGGTACTAGTCTGGCATTTGAGTTTGTTTGACCTTCTACAAAAGAGCCTTTGGCTTTTAAAAGCATTTATGCTTTAAACTTGTAGGTCTGAGTTGGTCAGATCTACGTTGGCAGCTACACTCGCTTAATCGGTTCTAAATTAGCAGGTAGCACCGAGTTTTGTCGCTTCTGCCCTCTGCAAGAGGTACTCAGGCAGCTGCACGCTCCCGGGCAGATGCGAGAGAAGGGATTAGATCCTGTATTTCTTGTGGGTCTTGTAAGAGATGCTTTCTCACTGAAGCTGTTTCTTGCAGTCCCCTCACATCCCATTTAGGCTGTTGACATGAGCATCCATCACCGAGGCACAGGCAACTGGAAAAGGCACTTGTTAGACAGCATTGTGACATGCTGCAATAACTAATAACACTTGTTCCCTCCCGCACTGCCCCTCCGTGTTTAATTAGTGAGTGTGGCAGCCCTCTCTTCAAGGGTAGTTTTGTGCTGGAATTTGCTCCATCTCTTTCCTTCTGAGGGGATGTTTAAATGGTTACAAGGGTGTGGGAGGACTTGGGCTTTTTTAAATCACTTTGAAATTTTGAGGACTTATTAAGTAACGGGGTTTCAGAAAAGCTGTTTCATTTGTTCATATTGAAAAGGCATAATGCATTAATTGCTGGCATTAAAGAATGCTCTTCTTTAAGGCTTTTGATTCAAGCATTCTGGATTGAAGTGATTCTTCCTTCTGGAACTGATTGGTCTCAGCTCTGTTTCGTGAAGTAAATTCTTTCCTTCAGCACAAAGCAAAAGCCTTTGAAAACCAAGCAACACTAACATGTGCATGTGTTAATCCCATTCTGTGCCTGTGTTCAGACACCCTTATTCATACCTCATAAAATCTGATGTTGATACTGGGAAGTGGCTCTTAAACTAATTTAATCAATTAGCCCACAGTCTGGGAGGAGTTTACTGTGCTTTTAAAAGCTTTTGATATTTCCACAAAGATTGTTCAGAACCACACGCCCCATTAGAAGTCCCAAGAAATACCCTTCCCTGCCTGCAGCGTGCTGCATCCCCAGTTACTGCACTCTTTGAACCAAACACCAGTTTTCTTACTGGGAGGTTGCTAATTGCATTTCTTTTAATACAAATCCAAGGATTTCAAAGCATTCTGTGGACGACTACACCTCATGCTACTTCGGTGGGAAAGGTGGAGTGGGGTAGTCAGACTTTCTCACTGGGAATCAAGTTTTATAAGGTTTTTTTTTTGAGTGACTTTGCAGTTTGATTGGGGATTATCATTGAAAAAAAGCTGCCGCGGGATGTTTGGCCATTCAGGTGGTAACTCCACCAGTTTCATGGGGCAGCACGCAGGGAAATTATACCCTAATGCTTAGGCCGTCACAGTTTACTCCTTCCTCATATTTAGCCAGACTTCATTTTCCCCATGACCAACATGGGTTGGACCAGCGGGTAGATTTTTTGGAGTCTCTTCTATCTTCATACAGAGACAATTTTCAGCTTCTTCATATTACTGCAGAGCCTCCTGTGGGAGCAGCCTTGGGTGCTCCTGGTCACGCAGGCGCTTCTGCGGGGGCTGCTGTAGTACCAGAGGTTTGGGGGATATCAAACGGCCGTGGAATCCACGTCGTGAAGGCAGAGCTTTTATTAATTTTTTAAATATATGTATAAAAGACTTCAAGGTCCCTGACTTTGTCCATGCATTTCCACTCTAAGTATGTTTGATCACTCTGTTAAATGGAATCCTTATGGGGAATTTGGTGCCAACAACACTGAAACCTGTTAGCTGAAACCAAAACCATTCTCTTTAAGGGAAATTAGAGGTCTGACTTTTGAAATTTAAGTGCTTGTCCCTCTGTCTGCCTTCAGACAGTCTCCATTTAAGTTTTTAAATGTTTTGTGAGTACTCTTCCACCAAAAACAAAAAAGAAAAAGCTCTGGCGTTGTTTTATGAGGGTGGGTTTTTTTAGGGCAAGTTGCTGCTGGCTCCAACTGTAATGGGTTGAAAATCCCAATCTGGTAGCTAGAAGAATCTCTGTTACTAGGCTTTCCTTAAATCCCATTCCCACATCCTGCGGAAGACATCTGATGTTTACAATGAAACTACCTTACTGTGGCTTCTGTATGGATTCTCTGCTCACTGATCTCGAGAAGCGCAGTGTTCTGAATTTACAGAACACAGTAAAATTTGGGGGGGAATCTGCTTTTTAAAATTCCATAGAGAAAGACAAGCACACCCTGATGAATGCTGCTGCAGAGGTGGCAGGACGCATCTGCGTTGCCTGGCAGGCGAACCCTGGCTTGGCCTTGGAGGACCTGGTCGTAGCCAGGTCAACGCTCCGTCTGCCTGAACTCCTTTGGTGTCACTTGTGTGCTGCCTGGTGGGTGTAGGTGTGCTGTCTGGGAATTCCACGGGTAGCGCCAGGCGTGGTTTGCGTTCGAATCTCTCCCGGATTTCGGAGAGATGTTCGGTAAAGGAGCGCTGCTGTCGACTTTCCTCCTAAGCAGACGAGTTTTAAGCAACTGCTTTAAAATGAAAACCACCGCCTGAAACACGTCGCTCCGGGTGGAAGTGCCATAATGATTTAGCTTTTCCTGATGTCTCACCTTTCCAGTCAGATGTGGTAGGGGGGAAGTGAGGTGGTGTGAAAGCGCAGAGCCCGTTCTTTGTGCTTTGCATTAAACAGATGTCAAAAGTAGGTGCCTTGTTGAGAAATGAAGAACAAATGGCTGCGGAGGCAAAAGCCCTCGCGTATGGACTGCATTAAGACCTGGTGCTCCTAGGTTGGCGCGTTGCGAAAAGCGAGTAGCTGAAGGGTAGAGGTACTTCTCTTTAAACTAGGGGTGATGTGTGTAGGTTGGTTATTCACAGGGGAAATGAAAAGGAGAATGCAGGTTTACAGAATGGGAATTATAAAAGTCTCAAGCAGATGGGCAAAGGGTTCCATTAATCTTTTAATACCAAATCTTTCATTTAGTGCACAAAATCTCTTCCACACCTGCAGAAAAAGTAGTAAAACCTGCAGCTTTACAAACTCTATTAAATCCTTCGAAGTGTTCCAGCGCTTTCCTAGTGGTATGTTGAAAGTAGAGTTGATTTCAAAGCAAAACAGGGGAGGAGAATTTGGAGTTTAATTGTAGACAGCAGTGTTTAATTCCAACACCGTCAGATCCCAGATAAATTAAAAGATCCATTTGTATTTGCATAAAAATAATTTTACATGTGCAACAGCTCAGGCCTCACTTTTGATTTAAGAAGGAGCAGATTCGAACCCAAGGATGGTTGTTTATACAGCAGAACCCTGGAGACGGGGAGTGGTCCCCAGCTACTCTGTAAACTCTGAGGTGTCAGTGAAACGAACAGCGAGACAGCTCTCGGTACCTTTTGGGTTTATTTTGGAAGTTCAGCGAATGTGGATCAGCTCAGACCCAGCGATCTCAAACCTTTCAGAGTTTGTCTCCGTTGTCTAACTGTCTCTCTTTTCCTCGTCTCTTTGGCAGATCGCCGTGGAGTAACAAATACGATCCTCCCCTGGAAGACGGTGCCATGCCATCTGCTCGCCTGCGCAAGCTGGAGGTGGAAGCCAACAATGCCTTTGACCAGTACAGAGACTTGTATGTCAGTTCTCCTGTACAGAGCCCTCTGCTTTCTTTGTTTCCTTCAGCAGGCGCGCAGTACACACAGTGAGGCTAAAACGCACTCGCTAGCCGCCTCTGAGGGTGGCAGACCGGTGCGTAGCAGAGGAAGAAGTGTAGGCAGCTGCTGATCCGCTGCGGGAAGCGTATCTGCTGTGATTTCACAATACTAAAACATGATCACATTTGTCATCTGGTGCTGAAGGCAGATGCTGAGGTGCTTTCCTGCCTCCCTCTCCTCTTTAAGAGCTTAATGGCGTCTTTGTCCTGAAATGACCTGTGTTCTCTTTGATCTTGACTAGGTTCAGTCTTAAACCATCTGCTTTTTCCATTCCCTCGAGACTCTGCTCTCTCAAAATATATCTATATAGCAGCAAGTTACACATCTTCCAGTAAAATGGCATGTGCTAGTGCACTGAAATGCAAGGATTGAGGTACTTCTGCCGCAAGGGCCGTTCTCTGATGCTTGTTTTAGGCCCTGTCTCGTTCAAGAGGTGTGAAGAAAGGAGTTAATAGCACATGTGTAAGACAAACGTAGATTGGGCAGCGTGTTTCTCTTACAGCAGTGATAGCAGACTCTCCGGGTGACCTGTCAGTCCAACAGTGTTTCTGAAAGGTTGGACTGTGCTGCTCTTGCATTTCAGTCACATCTGAGGCCTTGGGATGTCATCAGATGTAGCTGTCTTCCCTACAGTCTCCTAAGCAGCGATGGGATGGGAACAGCAATGCTAAAGCCAAAGAGCACGTGTGCGTGTTGCGAAGCAGAATGAACTTACTGCTTTATCCACTGCCGGGGTACTTAGAGGTGCCGGATGAGCATGGAAAAGGTGAACAAACCTCATTGCTGCTTCATGTTGGCCAAAAATGGAGATGAAACACCTCCTTAGATGTAGTTCATCACGTAACGAAAGCAGGTGGAACGTACTTTCCTTGCTAGGTGTTCCACTCATTTTAAGATGTAGCTCGATGTAAATGTAGCCTGTCTAGATGTGTAAGTTTCACACTTTTGTTACAGGTATCAAATTTTCACTTATTTTCATGTGCTGTTTTTATAGATGTCTGACTTCTCTTGTAAGTAACAGTTGTTACGGGGTTCTGAACTTACTGGAAGAAAAGGAATTTTGCATATGAAGCAACGGGGTTGGCGGTCACTCCCCAGGTGCAGAACAGACCAGGACTAGGAGGGTGTTTTTAATACACAAAGGTGAAAATGAGGAGGGTTACGGAACCGAGGTTGTCTCTTTGAATCCCTCTCTGATCAGATGACTGTGAAGGCACAGCTGGACACAATAACCCCTTTGAAAAGGTTTGGTTTGCAGGAAGGAAAGCAAGGTGCGGGTTACTGAGGTGAATCTGCTGAGCCCTGCTCAGCACGGAACACAAGGGTAGCCTTAACAGATCGTATGGAAGTAAAAGGTGAGATTGTATCAATTTCATCTCTCATTATGACAGCCCCAGTTTTGCAGGCAGGAGGGGTTTCTCACAAAGGCTTCGTTCTCGTGTCATCAGCCGGCAGCGCCGGGGGCGTTACAGCTTGCAGCGTCCTTGGGCTAGATAAGCACATCTGTCAGCGCAGCGCGCTTCGATGCGTGTTGTGATCCCCAAAATGTGTCAGAGAGAGAGAAGGGTGCCTTACGTTGTGCTGAGCGGTGTGAGAGCTGTGGCGTTTGTGGAAAGAATTTGCGAAGTTAGGGAAACTTAACCTGACCGTTTGAAGGGTTCCTCATGCTTGAAATTGGAAATGACTTGTACTTGACCTACAACAGAGATTTGGATAGAAACATGCTTTTGTTCTGGTACTTGGACTCTGCCGTTTCCATAATGAGACAATTGGATTTTGTATTTTGACAGCAGAAGCTTACTTTTTACTTGGAGATTGGAGAGGGGGAAAATGAGGTGGGAGCTAACAAGTGCCAGCTCTTCTCACTGCTGCTCGCGGGCCTTGCCAGTACATCAGGTTGGGAATGACTGTAACAATTACCGGTGTAACAGCTGCTGAAGCCACGCGGCGTCGGAAGCGCGGGAAGGCTGTAGTGGGAACAGGATGGCAGTTGCGGTGATGTAATTTCCATGGTCTGCTAGAACTGGAAGCTAATACCGGGTACCCACGGTAAAGCCAGAGGAGGTCTGAGCCACGTGATGTCAATTAAAAGTGTCACGGGCCTTCTGGTTTGGCAGCTTGCAGCGCTGGGGAAGGAGAGCACGATGCATCCGTTCAGGACAGAGTTATCAGTGTGGTTTCAGATTCCAGAGCCAGTGACAACAGAGGTTTTCCAGCATTGTGAAATATTTCAGGCTCGTTTGAAAGCGTTGATGTATTAATGAAAAAAAGGCAGCGTGCTGGCAGTCTTCGGTGCTGGATCTTTGGTGGAAATCATGGTTTCTGGGATGTGGGAAGATTTTGAGCAGGTCTACCTTCCCGTAACGGTGTTCATTGTGTACACAGCATGCAAAAAAAGCTTCTTGACCTGACCGGCAGAGACTTTTGTGGTCTCTGTTCACGCCGATGGGGTTCTCTGCCCAAACAGACTGCTCATAGGTGACTAATCAATATCCCACGTCACAAAGTCATCCTTAAACAACACGAGTTGAAGTGCAGCGGGTGTTGCAGACTTGCAGTGCAGATTAAGAGGGTGAAAATGATGCTGAGAGAGAAGCCTCTGGCTTGACACATCAGGTTCTCATTCAGCCATCCCTTAAGAGGCTGTTCTGTCCTGCTCTCTGCGGGGTAGAGAATGGTTTTGAACTACACCTCTAACCACAGCTATGCTGTGCTTTATGGCAGAGAGGTAGCAGTTAATACAAACATAATCTTATGTAAGCAGTCATTCACAGAGGACACCGAGCTCCAGTGTGCTTGAATTTCCTGGGCTGTTAGACATTTTATTCCTCTAATGAAGGTTTCTGCTGGTTGTTTTGGGGTTTTTTTTGGTTTGTTTTTTTTTTTTTTTTCCCCAAAGCAGTTTGTGGCTTTGTTTCCAGCCTTGCTGGCCTGAACTGCTGGATCTTGTGCTTGCAGTCTTTGGCCAGCACGGACGGCCCCTTGAAGAAAGATGATGTGTGCCGGCATACCGTGTAAGAGTCGTTGCTCTGCGTGGTGCTGGCTTCACTCCCTGGCTTTAAAATACATTTTATACCGGTCGTTCCAGTGGGGAGTGGAAGGGGAAGATGTTTCTTTGCTACAGAAAAATAAGTACTTTTGAGGATAGGTGCTGTTCCCGGTCTGCTCTCAGCATATGGTCCAAGATTCCTCTGGATTATCTCCCAGTAAATTGTAATATCTGAGAGTTCACCTCGGGCGTCTCCCAAGGTTTTGGATAGTTTCGGTTTTCCTTTGTATGAGTCCCATTTGGCCCACATACCATTCCTTTTTAGATTTCTGTTCTTATCAGGTGTGGTAAGTACCCACCTACGTTTCGTGAGTCATCGGCATGTATCTGCCATTTCCCAAGGGGCTGGCACCTGCTAGTGTGGGTGTTTTGAGGGAAACAGCCTGTTACCCGTTGGTTAATAGCTTGTGTAAAATAAGCCTTCTGAGTTCAGATTTGCTCCCTGGTGACTTAAACTGGAGTTTTGTCCCCAGAAACATACTGGCCAGCACGCTGAGTGACTGTAGTGTGAAAATAAGTTTGGAGAAGTCTTGCACGGAGCTGTTTTAGATCCTGAGAGCTTGAGAAGGAAAAATGCTGCTGACTCTTCAGTGCCTCCTAACCCGTGCTGGGTCATTCACTCTGCCTGTTTTAACAAAAACTACCTCGAGGTATCTCTAGGGTTGCCTGCCTTTTATGTCTGGAGTCACGTTCACGTCTCTTTGGGCTAAAGAGCAATTATAGTAGGTTTTAATTTCCTCTCTATTATATATGTTAAACTACAAGCATATTTCTCGGTTATCTGTTTTACCAAAACGTATGTCGCTTTCCCCAAAACCAACTGTTTAATTTTGATCTCCTGCTGCCAGGTTTAACTTGGGTACTGCCTGAAGCTAATGCCCTGGTATGTTTTCGTTCAGTAGGTTATTATTCCCAGATGGGAAGTCTAATATCTTACACCATTCAGTTAGAGCCTCGGCTCTCCGCTTCCCATATCAGGAAGATAATTTTGTCCAACACATGGTTGTAATTTATTGCCCTTTGCTTGACGTGTGTGCGCGCGATTGATTGAAATCAAAGCGTAATGAGGACCAGGGCATCTGGATAAATCCATCTATCTTAGATTCTGTGTTCTGTTGTTTTGGGTTGGAGATAATCAGGGCTTTAATTAAGTAATCTAATTGTTCTTTGTTGTCTGGAAGAAGTTGTTTCTGAAGTGATTAAATGGACCTCCCTGGGGAAGGATGCTGCTGATCTGTTTACTTCTACAAACAACAGGAGTTCTGGCAGCATTGGGCGGGTTTAGTAAGCTGACATACGTTTAGAAAGCTATCCTCTTCGTTTCTTGGGTTAAGTTGGATTTATCAGTACTTGTGATTTTTTTAGCTTAAAAAAAAAAAAAGCTAAAACGCTCCTTTTAATCATCCTGCTCCTTAAAATGTTTTTATTGATTAAGGTTTTGAGTTTCCTCGACAGGTTAAGCCATCAAGCCTCTTGAACTTCTGCTTCTGTCTGTGTTTTGATGTTGATCCATTGAGCTCTGGACAAGGAATTTGGTGGGAGCGGAAGGAGGTCTGGGAGAGGATTGACCTCTAAAACGTTGCCATTGAGCCTAATCCTCTTGTTACTGAATTTTGGATTGGCATCCTGTCCCAACTGGGGTTGTCGCCCACGTTTCTGATGGCGTTAGCAGTGCTGAGGGTGGCACCCCTGCCAGCCCAACGCGTGCCCCGTAGGCACTGCCCAAGCTGAACGTCCATTGCCTTTCTGTGCAGCTCGAGGAGGAAAGGCGGCAGTCGTTTCCTGTCTCCACGGGCTAGAGAGCGTGAAGGGGCTCCAGGTCAGCTTCAGTAGCGACATCCCAATGACAGGCCTTAGAGTGCTCAGGGC